GATGCTGATTCTGATGATGATGAGTATGGTGATGAATCCCATGCGCTCTAAGGAGATTATCGTGTGGCTTTCGTCGGAATCATTTTATTGGATTGAGGAATACTTTCATGCGGCCGAGATGCTTTGCTTCGCGTGTCGCGCCGCCAGTTCTGGCCCACCACGCTTCAGCGCGACACGGCAGCCACGTCCCGGTCTCCAATCGTCAGCGTCTCGAGCCTTTCCCAGCCTCCGGTCTCGCGTGGTGGACCGACGCGCGATTCGCCTGCAGGGCAAAGCGTGTCACAGGAGCCGCCGCTGCGACAGTATAAGCAAACTTTCTTGACCGCACGTGTATTCACACAAGGGTACATGTATATATATGTATATATATGTATATGCACAGATGCACATATATAAAAATATTTAATATGGTGCACTCCCCGTTGGTCAATATGTGTGATGCAATCTATGTCGTGCCGTCTTTGCGTGGTGCAATATATGTGGTGCAGTCGACGTGGTGCAATCTAAGTGGTGCAATCGTTGTTGTGGTATCTATGATGTGCAGCATACGTAGTGCAATCTATGTGATGTTACCTATGCTTGCAGTACGTGTTGTGCAATTTATGTTGGGCAATATCTGTTGTGCATTATCTGTTGTGCAATCTATGTGGTGCAATCGCTGTGGTGCAATCTCTTTGGTGCACTATATTTGGTGCAATCTACGTTGTACAATTTAGGCGGTGACGGGGCGGCCACGGCAACATCATAGCCGCCAGAGCGACAATCAGGCCAAGATGACCGGCGGCGACGGGGCGGCGACGGCGACAGCACAACCGCCGGACCAACAACCTCAGCCAGACGACGGGCGGCGACGAGGCGGCGACGGGGCGGCGACGGTGACAACAGAGCCGCCAGACCGACCCCCCCCCTCAGTTCCTTAGAACAGAAGTAAGAACCATTGGGTGCAAGCATTGTTTGGGGAATCGATGTATATACAAGACTGCATTGGCGCTTCGCGCTATGCACCTTGGTCCTTGAAGGACGGTCCTTGAAGTTTAGCAGGCAGGCGGAAGGGCAGGAAGGTAAACCATAACATTTCGCGATCATTGCTGGCTGCCTTTCTCCGACACCGTCGTTATGATAGAATTGTCCATTCTCCCTCCCTTATGTTTCATGTTTGTCTGCTTCATTCTCGCATTTCCAAGCGAATTCTTCTACAACCTCCTTCGGCTCTTTTTGTGAAGGCTCCTCCTTGAAGAGCCTCTTGGGGGTCTTGCGAACATGTTTAAGGGCTTCTTGGGGCCTTTGGAGACCTCCTGTGTTCCTCCAAGGGGCCTCTCTGGGGGCTTCCTCGGGCCACCCTACTTTCAACCGCGGCCTCCCTGGACGATCACCAGGTCACGATGTGTAATGCTTCGAGGGGCATCTTGGGGCAACCTTGGGTCGTCATGGGGCTAGATTCGGGCCACATTAGGGGCCATGTCGAGCCGTCTGGGGGCTCTCTTGGAGTGCCTGGAAACCTTTTGGGGCAGTCTTGGTGCGAATTTCCTGGCCTCCTGGTCTCGGAAGCCCCGAAAACCGAAGAACAGAGCATCATCAAAATCATACAAACATCCAGAGTATATATATATATTTATATATATATATATACACAAGTGTATATGTATTTATATATAAATACATGTATAAGTGTATCCAATGTTTCGTCTGTTTGGGAGGCCGCTTGGGGGTCATCTTTGGGTCGTCTTCAGGCGTGTGGTGGGCGTCTGGGGCCTCTTGGGGCTCTCGCGGGGCCGTTCGGCCGCCCTCCTGACCTATTTGCGCCCGCTGCCTAGGCCCAACAGGGGCTTCCAGGACCCTTCGAAAGTCTGGGGGACCTACTGCAGGGGCGTTCAGCGGGCCCACGGGGCCACGGATAGGGGGGACCAGTTTTCGTCTCGGGGGGGGGGGGTCCCGTCTTCTCGCGCTCTCAACATGCAGAGCTCGTGAGCTCTGGATGCACCCATACTCGTGCCTCTGCGGCCCAAGCCACTGGAGTGGCCCCCCGCCCCCTGGGCGCCCCGAGGGCGGGGGGGGCGCGCGCCCCTCAGAGGCCCCCCCGAGGGAAGGGCCTGGCGCGCGGCGGCGCCGCGACATGGCCGGCCCGAGCGGCGGGGGCAGGTCCCGGCCGGCCCTCGGGCCGCTGGCGCTGGCGCTGCTGCTGCCTCGGGCGCTCGGGGCGGACGAGGCCAAGACCTGGCCACGCGCAGGGGCGGCCCTGTGCCAGGGGGGCCAGGAGGAGGAGGGGGAGGAGGAGGAGGAGGAGGAGGGGGAGGAGGAGGAGGAGGAGGAGGAGGAGGAGGAGGAGGAGGAGGAGGAGAGGGGCGAGAGGAGGAGGAGGAGGAGGGAGGAGGGGGGGAGAGGAGGAGGAGGCGGAGGAGGGAGGAGGAGGAGGACGACGAGGCCCGGACCTGGCCACGCGCAGGGGCGGCCCTTTGCCAGAAGGGGCCTTGCTCGGCCTTACACAGGTCGCAGGGTGTGTTTCTCCCCCAGTCCCCTAGTTGCGCCCGAAACGTTTGGACGCACAGAAAACGGAGGCATCCTTGGGATATACCCCCTTAAGGGGGCTATTCGGACGCACCTCTATCGAGGATGGACGCCCCCCATCAAATATTCTAGGGTTGGGCCGGAAATTTCTGCTCCATTCGAAGACCTCACGAAGCTTGGGATAGTGGTCGATCTATTCCCTGTTAAGAGGTGCCGATACCGCTGCCCTGGCCTCGGTTTCGCCTTTCTGTTCTTGGGAGGCCCTCGTCGCCACCGCTGGATACGCTTCGAAGTTCTAGTCAGAACGCACGCAGGGAGAGGTCTGGGGAATAGGCGGTGCGGGTGGAGGGGGAGGCGCCAAGTATGGGAGCTTCTGTTCGGCCACAAGAGAGTTCTCAGGTCATGGCTCAGAGAAATTGATGCACTGGGATCGGGCAGGTGTGATTTGGTGGGATATTTACAGTGTGGGGGGGGTAGTGGGATTTCGTAGGATTTTGGTGCAGTCGCACGTGGGATTGAGTTGGTCTTTGTGAGGGCCCATTAGATCTCACGAACTAGGCGCCATGGCGACTACGTGGAGCTCCCATGCCTGGCCACCCATGGGGGGGCTGGGGTGGTAAGGCTTCGAGCCCTCACTCAGGTACAGTCGGGGCGTTGACCTAAGGAACCCTAAATAAGGAACGAGGCCCCTTTTTTCGTAAGTTAAACCTCGACTTCCCATCGAAAACTGAAGGGAAACCTTAGGCAAGGTGTGGAACAGTCAAGGAACACGGAGCCCCTCCCCAACGAAAAGGGTTCCTCCTTCAGGGCCCCGGCTGTAGCCCCAGCTGACCTCAATGGGTGCCCCGAGTAATTTCTCCCAGCTGGCCCCAACGGGCTCCCCGAGTGGTCCCGGGCGGCCTCAAACACCGCGGCCCTGGACCGCGGTGCGCCCCACGGGCGCCGCCCCAGGAGGCGCCAGGGGTGTTGTTGACTCCGCCCTGGGCGGCCCCAGAGGGGCCGCCTGAGGTCAGCTGGGACCTTTGTGGGCCCCGGAACAATCTCGAATGGGAGCCCAACCCCGGCGACAAGGGCGCCCCTGGAGGTCCGCATCGGCCCAAAGACGTTTCTGACTGCCTCAGCGCAGTGTTCTCACCAGGTCCATTCTGGTGGCCCGCTCTCGCGGCTGTCGGCGGCCCGCTCCGAGGCTCGTGGTTTTCCGTGGCCCGACGTCCGAGAGGGTCGGCCCTGGACCCTTGTGGGCCCCAGAAACGGCAGGGCCGTTGTTTCACCGTTTCCCAAAAGAAATGTCCCTTGATAATGGAAACGGCAAAAAACTGCGACCGGAAACGGCAAACAAAACGGCTCCAGGATTGGAACCGGAGCCGGAACTGGTCAAAAAACGGCGACGGAACCGGTAAAAAGACGGCGTCGGAACCAGCAAAAACACGACAGAACGGAACCGGTAAAAAAACGGCCCTGTCGTTTCCAGGACCAACTATAAGGCTGGGACTGCCTGGGGGGCTGCCTGTGCAGGGGCAGCGTTAGTAGGGGGGACTGGCACAGAGGGGGACGCATCGATGGATCGCCGATGTGGGCCCGATAGCCCCAACCTGCCCAGGAACTTGCAGATCCTCTATCGGGGGCCATCGCCGGTCTACCGGTGACGCACCGCCGCTTCCAGGTCGATGCTCCCCCCCCTCTGCCAGTCCCCCCTGTCGTCCTGGCATCGCTCGGACGTGTGCACTTTTCCTTCGGCGAGGACCATCGAGGAGCATCCTTGATCCTTCGGCGGAACAACCACGCACGAGACCGAAAAAGGCACGGGAATTTGGACGCCCGAGCGATGGCCAGCCGTTGCCCCTCACCTCTGCGCAGCCCGAAGCCCTGCCGCCGGGGATGGAGGGGGCGGCCAGCCCAGGCCCAGGCCCAGGCCAGGCCGCTCCCGCCGCACCGCGGGGCAGCGAAGGGCAGGCCGCGGGCCAGAGGCCGCTCTCGCCCAGGACCGCTCGCTGCGCGTGGCCGGAAGACCCATGTGGACGGGTCCGTGAGCCGCGGTGCTTTTGCGCTCCCGGTGCGCTCCGCCCATGGCTTCAGGAGCTCACCACCCACCAAACCACCCCAACCCAACCCGAAGGCTCGGATTTGCCCTCGATTTCTAGTGGGGGGGGTCCGGGAACATTGACAAAAAAACACATATGGAGCCCATACCCCCCCCCAACCCGAAATTCGGGTCTTCGGGTTGGGGTGGTCTGGTAGGTAGTCAGGAGCGGGGACGAGATCCGCATTCAAGCGGGCGCCCAGTCGGAGAATCGGATGGTCTCCCTCGTCGACGGCCACGACCTCGTGCTGGACAAGGGGCTGCGTTTCCAGCACGCCAGCGGGGAGGAGGTGACCCGCCTGGAGGAGGGTGACTGGAACTCCACGGTCACGACCGCCGCCGTGCACAGGGGGGACAAGAAGGTGCCAGTGACAAGTGCCGCGTCTTTCGCCACTGGGCAGCAGGTCAAGATCAT